GACATGGTTTAGTGGGTTAGGTGGTGTGGTTTGATGGTTGAACTTAATGATCCTTGAGGTCTTTTCAAACCTTAATGATTCTATGATTCTATGATGACACATTTATCTAAAAGACAAAGTTTATATATTTTACATGTTGTACTCGTTGTAAATTTATTATTTTTTACAGTTGAAAATATAAATACAAGAACATTAAATAAATTTACAAGAAACAGTGCAAAGGCAATTAGCCAAATAGTTAAAGCATTCACAGAAATGCATTCCAGCTACTAGCATTCCAGTACCATCTTCCATTAACATGCAGTTAAAACCTTGTGGATAAACACAACAAATACGTTAAATTCTCACTTAAAAGCATATTCAGAGTAGTCTTGGACATAGGTGACCAAAAGAACCTATGCATTGCATATAGAACCACAAGAGGGTTTGAGTACTGAAGAGGTTCAATTGCTGAACTACAACAGAGCCCCAGAGAGGAGGCATTTAACTGATGCTTTTTTTTTGGGGGGGGGCGGTGGGGGGTGGGGCGGGTTGCACCACCACAGAGTGTTTCCAGGGCTACCTCCTGAGTCCTTTAGGAAAGCAAAGCCCTTGCTCCCTTCTGCCATGCATCTGCCCCAAAAAATCCCCTTTGCAGGGTCTATTTTCTTTCATCTTTTGTGCATGAAGAGCCAAAATCCAGCTTTTTGAGACAAGTATCACAAACAGAATGAAATTTTGCGTCAGGAATTACTGAGCTAGGGCCTCAAGATTTGGCTTGCCAACCAAGGGCCAAAGTACAAGCAGAAAAATACTCATTAGAATAGCTCAAAAGCTGTCCCTTAAAAAGCAGCCACACAGTTAAACAGTTTCTCAGCTACTAAACACAGCAGCTAGCATTTATTATCTGTATTTTTTCTTCAAAACCTAACACTTCTCTACTTTATCATTGCAAATGAGAAATGGCAGTGTGTTTAATCTCTGAAATCACCACTCAAGATACAATATTGACCCTGCTTAAATCAATGGCAAAGCTTCCATTGACTTACTCAAGCCACTAACATAACTTAGTTGTATTTAATAACCTACTGACTACTTTATTTATCACTATCTTATTCATGGCACTCTACTTCCATGATACCCAGTTTCTATCCCTCTGTGGTGTATTAAGAGGTCACTAAAGGTTCAAGACAGATAGTTCTTTTGTATTTACAGTTCTGTAGCTAGTGAATATATTTAAACGAGTGTAAGTGATTTCACTTACTGAACAAATTAACTTCTGTATCATTCTATGTTAAAGTTAATTATTTCAAAGACAAATGCAAACTTACAATAAAAGTTAAAACAAAATACCAATTATTTTTCTATACATAGGAATATTTAAATTTATATTACAAGAAATAAATATAAAAGTATTATTAAGATGCTTCAAGGCTGATATTTTTCTGCTTATGTACATCACTATAGTGTTTGCTACTACAACATACCAAAAGTTGAAGACAGTGTAGCTAACATTTTTAAAGATAACATTGTTTATATGCACAAGTTGTAACTTCCTACATTTATACAATACTATTATGCATTATATCCACATAAACTTAGTTGTAATGAAAAAAGTCTAAACAAAACATTCCTTTAAATGTAAAAAATAAAACCTCAAAAAAACCTCTAATGAAGAATCAAAACGGAAATGTGCCAGCTGTAATCTGACATCCAAGATACCTTGTCAAAATAGTAGCTTCCTTTTTTTGTTTGTTTGTTTTAAATAATTGTCCTTGTCAATCCATTGCATGGCTGCTTTGAAGTTCCAGTACTATATATTAAATAAAATCAGTTCTTGGTCTGCTCACATTATGTAAAACTGTGAAAGTAAATCTCCGCTTCACACTGTAAAACAATGTGCTGTTTAACAGGAAATCACATTTTCTCCATAAAAGTTAGGCTTCCCCTCTTTGAAGTCCTTCTGAGCGAGATACGGCTTTTTTGGCTGCCTGTATCATACTTTTCTTGAAATACAAGTTGTTTGCCTGAAAAGTCATGGAGACACACATCACCATTCTGTACACTGAAAGAAACACCGTTCTTCTCACTGGAAAGATGGCCTGTTGAAACAAAAAAAGTGCATCCCCTGTCAGAAAGGTTCAGAATCAAGGCTCCCATGCTTTTCAGTCACTGTAGGGAGTTTGTGCACTCCTGTTTTATCCCTTCAACAACTTCAAAATGTGGATTTTTCTGTACCTGTTCTGTATATATTTCTTTTCCTGTATGAAATCGGTAAGAGCTTTGAGAGATGTTAATATATTTATGTACAACAGGATTCCCTATTTTAAGCAGTGATGGTCACAATTCTCAGAATGTAGACTTTGACTTGGAATAAATATCTCTACGTAAGATGCAAAATACTTCTCATTCTAGCTTTGCTTTACCTAGTGAAGTTTAAAGTTTCTTGGGTTTGCCAGGTATCTGAAACAAGAAAGTGTTTGACAAAACAAGGATATTTTTTGTTCCTTTGAAAGGCACTCAATTTGCAGCATTTATTTCTGCAGGACAATCAGAATACGGCCTAGGTCCAATCATAGGTCTAAGCCATATTCAGACTGAGAATCTTATGCTGATTGCAGCCTATTAATGAAATGCTCCACAAATGCTCAATTCACTGGAGAGAATCTCCTACCTCTATGCATCATGTTCTAAATAATTCTGATGAGAATTGGGATTTTTTTATTATAAGTATTTGTGCAAATGCTTCTGTTTTTGGTTTTTTTTTTTGGGGGGGGGTTGTGGGGTTTTTTTGTTTGGTGGGGTTTTTTGTTTGTTTGTTTTGCAAAGCAGTCAGGTTTAAAAGGTCTGCTAGGATCCTGATATCATATGTGTCATATCAGGAGGAGTAAATTATATGGAATACCATGATGGGGAAACCAAAACCAGAACTAAAATTTATTTTGGGAGGTGATTGTTTTGTTAAACACTGATAAACAAGTTCACAAACACAGATGCAGAGCTGTCACTTATCATTTATACCAGAGATAGAATTAATAAAAAGCATAAAACATCCAAGTTTGCTATTTGTGTTAATACTTACAACACTTCATACACAAAAATCATCATGATTCATTAGATTTCAGTAAATTTACTGAAAAGACACAACAGTGAAGGTAGAAACTGCTTGCAGATTATGCTTTTAGGAGGAGGAAAAACACTGGTGAGAAACCTCTAGGCAGTGAAAGATTACTCTATTACAGGGATCCAAATCTGGTCCTCTCTAGTATGCCTGGATTCAGTCCATCAAATACCTCAAATATCCTGGAACGGAATCCTGCTTTGGCTCTCCCCTTTCACTCTCTCAGTACTTCACACTTCTGAACCTTTCCAGAAGGGGCAGGGCCACATTACAGGATGCTCTTCTATTATTTCTTGTTGGGGTCACCAGAGAGAGAAGTATTTGATGACACCCTCCCCTGCATTAATCCCTCCTACACAAAGGATTCTGCCGCTTGAGTGACTGGGCTGGACTCCTCTATTCTGCTTGGGCCAGGGTCCCCAGGCACACAGGTTTAGTGTCAGTCTACCCAAGCACTTCCTCTAGAAACTAACCCTTACTTTATGCAGACAGCATACCTTTTGGCAGTTTTCCTACTGATTCAAGCGATGTCAGTTGCATCAAAGTCTCATTGGCAAACTTTTATTTGGAATGAGAGATGGCATTTTTAAAATAACATGTGAACATATATTTCTAGTTGATAAAGCTTAATACCAGGTTGAAAATGTAATGCATATAACTTAATTTAAACATCTCAGGATGGGAGTGTAAGGGAGTGGGTTTGTGGTGATGGCTGTCAAACAAAGGTTACAAATTTCATGCCAAACTACTGAGCTGCCTCTGGACCCACAAAGTGGAAGCAATGGCCCAACAGATTATGGAAAACCTCTTACATATAAAGTCTAACATTTAATTATTAATCTAAAAGACCATCAAGTACATAAACAGGCTCAAATGTAAACGGAATAAAATGAGCCAAAGAGCTTTGTTAATAAATTCAAACTAACCATACTTGCTGACACTGTAATTGGGCATATATAGTGCATATATAGTTTAACCCCTTGCCTGACTACAGCTCTTTTATTTTAGAAGAAGTGTTCAAAATAACTGTGCCCTATTTGTGTTAGGGCAAAATCTGAGGAGAAAATAAGGCTATTCTGTGAACAAATTCAGAAAATTGGTTTCTGTTCCTCAGTGAGGAAATCTGCAGTGTCAGCCATGGGATACCTAACAGTAGTTTTCCAAACATGCAAAACCATTTTTCCACGTGTTCCAAACATGCAAAACTTTGGTTCAAGAGAAAAACCAAAACCAAGGAAATATTAGTATGTATTAGTATGCCATGAAAAGAGTTAAGTTACATGGTCCAGCAGGCAAGAAAAGCCACAGGCTGCATAGATACCCCAAATTTACCATGGCAAGTCATTCAATCCTGCATCTGGAATAGCATTTCAGTGGAAATAGTGAGGCCAAAACCATCAAGTATTTACAGCTCAGTACATTTATGACATAGGTCTTAAATTTCTAGAGTGTTTCTTTTTGGAGCTCACTTTTTTTAAATGAAGCGTTTCAATGTTATTTTGAAGTTATTGCGGTGAGAGCAGGGATATCAGGTACAGCAAATTAGAAGGTCCCATGTTCCTATCCAGCACCAGTCAACTGGTGCAGGCAGTACCTTTTGGAGGCATTTGCCCAGCTCTTCTGAGATACAACTGCCCCATGTTTGGAAGATTAAGTGTAAGGAATTGCCTCAAAGAGCTTTGCTGGGAGGACCAACTCTATCCAAGCATAAGTTTAGCCTCTTCTTGTGGAAGTCCTAAAGACCCAGAAGAATTATTTAGTCAAACAAACTATGCAGGGAAGGTATCATACAACCCTTTGATGTGAATGGTGGATGTGGTACACAGCTCACAGCATTCAAAACATACAATGAAATACAAGATGTGATGAGGTGGGTCATCTGAGACATCTGTGTTCATGAGTGTATATGAACAAAGTTCTATCAAAGTTCTTTCAGCTGCTTTGAGAAGCTGTTGGCACGGGACATACAAACTCCCATACTGGAAAGATCTAATTATGTGAATAAACTAGGACAGAACTGGAGCACTTCTCACGGAATTGGCATCGCTCGATGGTTTAGACCATCAATTTTGTATCTCTTTCTAAAATACTACCCAAATCAACAAAAACTTGTTCCAGAAGGCCACAACGGTACTATTCACTGAGCTGCTACAACAAAAAAAAGTTCAATAAAACATTTCTGCTCTCTTTCTTTCGGTTGAGAAAAGTAGCCAAAATGCATTTGTAGCTGGATATAAGCATGCCAAATGTTGCAGGGAGAGGTGGCATCTTTCATCAGAGTAACTAACATAGCTGGAAAAAAAACCCCTACAAGACATGTAGGCTGAAAATTTCTCTCTCTTTGAAAATTTTACTTCTACCTAAAAATATTGCCTTTCTTTGTATTTGACGACAGTGAGAGTTACTGGATTCTGTTTCTCAACTGACCTGTTAGATACAAAGTATGTTAATTATTGCATTGTGTGGTATCCAAACAGACATATTTTATAAAGGAATGACAAAAAAAAAAAAAAGGAACTAATTTTACAAGCTCAGTTTGGAGAGCTATTCAGGTCATGTCCAAATGCCATTTCCTGAAGTGCTGTGATTTCTTCACAATATGCAGCTAGTACATCCAAATGGGCAGTTACCTATTAAGGGGGCTGCACATATTAATTCCATAGCTTTTACTCTGTACATTTGAGCTATTATCTGCTGAGATAATCCTGTTGATTATCTGCTGTCTTCTGACAGCATATGTCACGAAACAAGGATAACATAGCCTCTGAGCATATTCTGCAATTTCATACTAAACAATCTAGCTGATGGCATGACTTCTTAGCCTCAACTCTTGATCAACTGGGAAAAATACCTCAGGCACACAGAAGTAATATCCTGTAAGTTTTGCTCAACTTAGGCTTTTATATATTAGAGATTTATAAGTTATTCTTCTCTTTGCAAAACTGATTGTCTTTAGTGAGAGATCAAATCAGCAGCAAGAGTGTGAAAAACTAAATTACGTCCACTGATAAAAGATAAGTTTTTAATAAATACATTCAGTGGAGATTCGTATCGAATTTTCTGAATAGACAAATAAGCCACACCAATTTGAAATTGATTGGAGTGCTACATACACCTGCATTTCAACTTCTCAGAGCACAACAGAGCAGGGGGTAACAATTCAGAGGACAGTACTGTGTTAGAATAGGAAGGATAGATAATTTTACTTCCAAATAATTGTCTCCTGAACCAAAGATATATTTGTTAGGCAAAAAAGATCCTTTAAAATCCCACAGGGGAAACAAAGAGCTATAGAGAAATTCCATTTCAGTACTTACTCTGTAGCCAACAGTGAGGCAGCCCTCTCAGCACTGCTATCTTCACTGAGAGGATTTTATAAGTTACAGTCTCCATTTTCTCTTACTTCTTCTCTCATAAGCAGATTCCACATAAGCATTCAATTAATGTTTTTCCTCATTCCTCAGTCCTACATGATTTCTCTCATACTTTTAACCTATACTATTATCCTATATTTCCTTCTTCTTCAGGCAATGTTTGTTTTAATAAGGTTTAAAATGTGAACTGTTTTAAAACGTGCTTGAAGTTTATTGTCATATATTCAGGTGACAAGAAAAGTGTTAGCAGCAGCTTCTGGTAAGTAATTGTCTAATAATAAATATAACCTACTATTTGATACATAAATCAAGAGTTCCCACTGAGTACGAGAAGTGGATATTTTAGAACTTTCTCTAAAGTTTCCCAAAATGGATGTGGGGTATTGTTTGTGAGGACATCCTAAAATATTTGGACCCTATACTTATGAATAATATTTTGTTGGCACTTCACTTTACAGTAGCATGAAAGAGCATAGCACTTCTGTTTTAAGGCAAGAAAAAAAATAACTTGAGAAATACTATTTTGCATTATACATACCATTTCCATTTGCGTGCACTGAATAATCGTTATTCATTAGCAGTGTTGTAGAGTTAGTGGAGTTACTGTTTGATTGTAAGGAATTGGAAGAACTAGATACTCCTTGATTTACAGTCTGCTTCTTTAAGCCATTAGTAGCAGTTCTACTCCAGTCTACAATAGATACATGTTACAGAAAGTAGCACAACTCAAGCACAATACAAGTAATATATAAAAATGTAGTTAATAATGCAACTGAATCAAAATAAAAACAAGGCTTTACCCACTCTCTTCACAGTATTCTAGAAGGAATTATATTCTCCTAAGAATTTAATGATTCTCAATGTTTAAAATTATTCAAATCTAGTTCCTTTTTCTCTTGTCCCTTTTTTAATACAAACAGCCAACTCTCATAGTTTTACGACTGACGACCAGATCAGAAAAATAACTAAAATACAGTCGATCTTCTAAATTAAAATGTATAAAAAGTATATAGCTTTATGAGAAGTCAATGGCTGAATAACAAAATAACATCAAATAATTTATAGCTTTTTGGTTTAAACTATGCTTCACTTTGTTTTCGTGAAAGTCACTGGTAAAACTACAATTGACTCGGAAGCTGGAACAAATCTTACAGTTTTTATTTGATCAAAAGTCTTCTGCAAGACATGCCTCTATACTGGAGTGGAAGAGATCAACTGCAGTTAAGAGCTTAATGCAACAGCATGTAAGTATGTAAGAACTGCATCAACTTCCACCTTTAAATAGTATAATTTTTGAGGTTTATTAGACCTTGAATAATAAATTAGAACTGCAACAGCAGCAATATGATTTATTGATTTTTTAAAAAAAATATTAAAAAATACTAGGAACTTAACACTGAGTTAAGTGTTAAGGAACTTTATTCATAAGTAAAAAAAGAGAAATATTCTTATTTACCAGAGTTTTCAGCCAGCCTGAATTTTCCACAACAGAGATATCTTCTCCACTGTTTACGGACATTCTCCTTTGTTACACAATAGAAGATAAAAATGAAGAATCCTGCAAAGCAATAACATTAGAGAATGTTGCAAAACTGACTTTTACTACTTCTTAATGAACAATGTTTTGGTTTTCTTTCATTTATTTTATATTTCAGATCGAAAGTAATGAGAGCATTCTTCGGTGAAAAACTTCAGAACTCTGAACACTGAAGAGTCCTTTTCCCTTACAGAGATGAGAGGAATCATACACAGACGCAAGAACAACAAATATAATCAAATCCACAAAGTGCATAAAGTTTCCTACTATCAAATAAGAAGGGAAAAATTCTGTGGATCCTGAAACTTATGTAACTCTTTCAGAAAAGAGTTCAGTGTCAAACAGAGGGCATGATATGACACTGTCATGGTGTGACACTGTCCCATCTTTTATTAGCAGCTAACCTGTTACCTCCAACTATACCAGAACCAGTAGCACTTCAAAATTTTGATCATTCATACAAAGAAAATAACTCGTAACTAAAATAATAATAAATAGTACCCCTTTTACCACAAATTCAAAGCCAAATATTTTCTAGAAGGGATGGGGCTCACATACGTCTCTTGCCAGTGCCACATTACAGACTCAGTATCTGCTTCTCATTCACTTCTGACACAGGGTGGGACCTAACTTTCCCTGCTTATAAGTCCATCATCACTGTCCCCCTTTAAGGAAAAGTGGCAGTCAGTCTTTGCACAATTTTCCAGCTGCTATGTGTCCCTGAGAACAGATGTGTTATGTTTACAATGAATAGAAAATAACATGAAGGAAAACTAAATGATCAGACTGGTGCAGACGTGCATGTACATTATGTTTGCACTGCTTTTAAGGCCAGTTAAGCATGTAAAATCCCACTACAAGAGATTACTCACATCTTTCCTTGCTTAAGTATCTAACTTCGGCTTTTAGGATGAAGTTTTGAATGTAACCAAGTATTGCCCTACACAGATGGTTCTATACCATTGTCAAATACAGTTTTGAAACACTGGCACAAACTTAATTAAAGTCAACACAATTTATGTACCTTTATTACTTCTAATATCAAAATTTGCCCTGCACCTAACTTAAAACTGGGTAAAAGGGGAACTTAGCTTCACACAACAGATTACTGTGACCACATGGAATCTAGTCTTGTCTTAGTTCAAAAAAATCCTACGCAAGACTTGGAAGATGTGGGTTCTCTGCTTTTGGATATGTCCAGTAGCATCCTGGCCTTTGCGAAGCTGCATGCCTTCATATCTGCTTCCTGTATGTTCTTAAGTACTAAAGACCATGCTGAAGAGTTAGACCACTGACTTCTAGATGTTGCAGCCTTGCCCATCTCAATGGCCCTTTGTTCAATGTCACACCTCACCATGAAGCCTTAGCGGTAAGTGGAGAAACTATATAGTTTTCACTACATTAATTACATTATTATGAAAACACTTACAGTAACTGAGTATTTACAATTGATCTGTTGACTAGAGAAACACAGTCACTTCCAGTGGTGGTTGGTTTGCATACATTTTAAAAATTATAATATTTATAGATATAAATATATTATACCGACAAATAGTAGCTGGCTTTCCTGTACCTTACTATAACGTAAATTTAACTCAAGATTACAGTAAAACAGTATCATCTCTAATTTATTTAACATGTCAAAGCACATATCAAAATTACATCCTTATTGCTGAATCAAGAAAATGTGATTTCCATATTGGTTTGTCCATTATATGGTATGCAATGTGCTTCCTCATGAAGGATAAACTTACCTTGCAAAGTGTTGAAAATGGTAAAGAGGTAAATAAATACCTCATTTACTGTGAAGAATGCAAGTCCCCAAGTGATTCCCAACAAGAATGTGAGGCCGGCAACACTCCTAAGGTCTTGAATACTGGTTTTTCTTTGAGCACCAAGTTGTTTTTTCTTTTTGATACGACAGAGCTGGATCAGCACAACAATGAACATGCTGATATTGATCAGGAATATCAGGCAAAAGTATCCCACAGCAGTAATATAGAAGACAATTCTATTTTTAATCCAGCAGCTAGAACACAAAAACAGTCTGTCAACCATTGTCAGAAACAGAAATTAAGAAGAATAAACATGAGATAAAGGTGTGGTTTGTTGCACACGCAAACCATTTTTGCCTCTTTAGTAAAAAATATTTTTTTGGCTAAAGGGTGAGAGCTTTCATATATGCAATAACTACAAAACACGACACACGGTACAGTTATACAATTTCAAAGCTCTCCCATTGCTTCTTTCTCTTCCCCACCTTTACTTTAAAGAAAAGCAATTTTGTAGGACCTCCCTTCCCACTCACCCCCAAAAAAGTACCTCCCTTTAACTCACAATTCATCAGGTCTGTTTATTGAAACCTTTCCGGTGGTTATAAGTCCATAATTATCTGGTGATACAGCCAACACAATGGACACAACTACTGCTGGTAACCCTAAAAGATTACGAGCAAACACATAAGTGAAAATCATGACAAAGACATTATTATGAGGACTTGAAATTATTATATTTTTCTGTGAAAACTACAGCTTGACTCTGAAATTTGTCTGTTGAATTCTGTTGACTACTAGCTGTCTGAAAGAATCTGAAAATTGGAGCATTCAAACTGTTCAGGAGCGCAACTTGCAAAGAAACAAGAGTTCTCCACAGCTAGCTCCAAACATTTCTGAATACGGCAACAAATATCATCAATCTTCAAACTGATTTAAAATGTCAAATACAGGATACCTGCTTTTCTTTCTTACATCTGTTTTAAGAAAACAATTCTATTGATTTTAGTGCCTTCATTCATGTTTACTCAAGTGGCCACAGAGGATAATCAGGTCCAGTATCTCTTCAGCTTTTATCCAGTTTTATCTGTTTTGCTGCTTTTTGTTAGCAACAGTGCTATCCCAGAAATGAAATATATATACTTATTGGCATTTCTTTTCAAAACACAACTGATGCCATCCACCTGGTAAATGGAAATGGAAATATGCACATTCAAAATTGGTTCTATTGCACTTGCATAAGGAAAATTCATGATCAATTTGCATTGCAGCGGTCTCAGTTCTGCAGTTAGCGGGGAGTTTCCTACCTCAGAAAGGTGGAATATATAGGATCAGGTTTACTGATAAGGAATACCTTGTCGCTGCAAGGTCATAACATTTAATGATGGCTTTATTTTCATTTCTGAACTGTGCCACATTCACTAAAATACTCAATAATACAATTTATCTATTTAGCACCCAAAAGGAAAAAAAAGAAAAACAAACTAAAAAAGACATACCCCAACCAACAACGCAAAATTTAAGAATGTATTTCCGGACATAGGTATTAAAGACTTTCACAAGGGCCAGATACATGTGGAAAGCTTCTAGGCCCATCCAGGTGAAGGAAACCAAGAGGAAATAGTGAAGAAATACTGCAACTGCAATGCAGAGGCCTCGTGTATCATACAGTGCAATCCATGAGTCCAGGAGGAAAGCTAAGTTGAGTAGAAGTAACGCAGCACACAGCTGAATAAGGATTTTGGAGGGGTAGTCTCTCCGGATTTTCCTAAAAAAAGGAAATTAGTGAGATGACATCAATTGTTCATGGATCCCTGGCTTACTTCCTCTCTTGTAGTCCTTTGTGCACATATGCCATGAAAAAAAAGTATTGATATATTTTCATTCATATGTAATGCTTCATATATTGCATGTCTACATGGAGAGAGTAATTTAAATGAAGTTTGTTATACTAAGGTTATATAAATACAAACAATAACTTGGATTCTTAGAGTTTGGTACCATGATTTTTTTTTTTTTACATTGTATGTTGGGCTTCACCTTGTTACAGTACTTCCAAAAACCAAAATGTTACTATTCTTTATTGCTGAACTAGATTAGGCTTTTGACTGGAATTCTAAAGCCTTGATAGAGACAAGTAAGTCCTTAATGACAGGATAATGAGAGAATAAACATGTGCCAAATAACTTCGAGGAGGACTTCCAAAACATAGTATGGAGGATTCAATAGTTAAGGCTCAAACATAAGAAAGTGTTCTGACAAACAACAAAGCATACAAATGCCTTTAAAAATGCTATCATTCTCCACTGCTCTATATATGCTGTGTCTTAAACACATTCCTTCACACTTCTATTATGATAGTCCATTATAAAATATTTAAGAGTGCTACTTCTTCACTTCTTACTGCATAGATCCTCATCATTAATTCACTTGTCCACAAGATCAACATTCCTGAAGATTGAATCAACACCTTCTTTGTAAACTGGACAAATTTGTGCTTTATTAACAGAGACAGAATCTATAACTATTGGAAAGGACTTTGCAGTGAAGACTACAAGCAATCATAATTGAAGAATAATGGTAGCTTAGTTGAACAGGTACTTACTCAAAGGCTATGTAGGTCACAAGAGTAATAGAAAGAAAAATTGCAGAGAGGCCACAGCCTATATAGGATATAAAAGTCAGTACCAATTCCTGTGTGGGATTCAAAGGAGTATTTCCATACAAGTTCTAAAATGGAAATAGAAGTTAATTTCAGAAAACATGTTTATTAAATCAAAAAAGATCAAAAAAACCACAAAATGCACCTTTCCCTCTGCAATTGAAAAAAAAAATGAAACAGCTCTTCTCATCACAGATCTTATAAAAGGTTAACTGAAAAACAGAAAAGCCAACAGAGTCCTGCGAGGAGCAGGGAGTTGGACTCGATGATCCTTATGGGTCACTTCCAACTTGAGGAAGGGATGATTCTATTACTCCAATGGAAACCTGTTTTAAATTTGATTTATCCTAATTTTTATTTCCTGCAATATAAACAACTGCATAAATGTAAAAGCTGCAGTTTAATAAGCACTTAAGGAATTATTTACTCCAATGAGTCCCCATTCAAGAAGCAGCTTAAGCGTGTGGCTAATTGTATGGCTATATGTACTAACACCGAAGTGAATAGAGCTTGCATAGTATTTCATAGCTAGTATGTGCTTACTGAATACTTATTTGCTTAAGATAACACATGCTTAAATGTGTTCTTGAATCAGGGTAAGACTGCATAATTTTTAAATAATTACCATCAAAACTGCAAAGCTTGTGAGGTGGTTGCATGAACAGACTGTTTCATTTACTCTACTTTCTTTAACTATGCAACCTTCCGACGACCAGCCTCCATGTCCACCTGTTAAAGAAAACAGCTTTGTTATTCGTAAAAGCCTTTATTTATATTAACATGACTTAACATAGCTAAACTGGCATGATATCTTGGATGATAGCAAGTACTTACCATTTTTATTAAAGTCCCAAAAAACACATCTAACTGTTGAATTATCCTGTTTAGGAGGTAAAAAAAAAAAAAAAAAAAAGATGTTTTACTAAACTATGAGTTTATGATCAAGTAATTTATGAATTATCTACAGAATACAGGCAAGAATAAGTACTATATACAACAAATATACCTGTTTTACATGAACGCAAAATGAATTTAGGTGCAGAGAATGGATTAATATTGCAATATGCATGTGAAAATATGCTGAACAAATTTGAAGTCACCATACAGGTGTTAGCTCTCATGCTTACACTAAGATTCTCTTCCTGGCAGAACATTATGAATGCTCTTTCATTTTTTTCCCACACTATAAAATTTCTTGGGATTTCTCATCCTTCTTGATTTTTTAAGTATCAAGAACATGACCACACAGAAAAGTAAAAAACTTTTTCATTTGAAAACATATGATCACTTTAAATTACCATGATGTTAAAGGTTTACATATACATTTCCCACACACACATGAAAATCCTAAAAATAGTAGCAGTAATACACTGTACAGCTATGAATACTAATACTTCTACAGTTATATCTCAAAACTCAGTATTATATTAATACAAGCGAAAAACTACACTAAGCCAGCTCTTGAAAAAAGCTTCAGGTACATTAGTGGAATCCCTACACTTTTCAGTTTATAATATTTTAGTATTTCAAACTCTTTTGAGATATAGAAGATTTCAATCCTTGATGCTCATTTAGGAAAGAGATGCTGTATATGAGCCCTGATATTCCAGATGACACAATCTGTGTTCCAGTTCAAGAAACAACATTCTCCCTAAGAAAAAAGACATATTACTTTTGGGCCATGCAGCACCTACATATGTCATGACTGCAGCATCTCCATAGCAACCCCCACTGTCAGGCTTTCATCTAAGAGTTTTTATTCTTTGAAGACTAAAACAGAAGAATAGGTAGGAAAGATAAAAACTGTATGGATAGCTGATAGAGCAAAGTTACCTGAAACCATTTGAGAATAAAAATTTACACTGGTGATACATAAGCAAAGATGAGTGATTCTGAAAGTCCAGATGGAGATGAAACGTCTGCACTAGTAAAGCAAAACCAACCGATCTGTATACTTAGTACAGTATTTCTTCCACAACAATGCCAATAGAGGCTACAAAATTGTACTTTAATTTTGCTAAAATGTAAATTGTACCTGATTAGGTTTGATATTCTGTAAAGTGACAGTAACATTTGCCTTTAAGTTGCTAATTGTGAGGTTAGCAACACTTGATGATATAACATTGCTGATTAAAGATGCATTCTTCAAGGACAGATCCTGGAACAACAAAAAATAATCAAATTTTAAAATCTTAAAGGAAACAATAGTAGAATACAGCACCCACAAGCTCAGTTATTATGCAGAGTGAGCACTGGACAAAAACAATTTTTAAATCAGGAAGTTTTGAAATGTGTTTTGTGGGAAAAAAATCCATTCTTTTTTTTTTTTTTTGCTCTAGGTTTGAGTTTAAAACCCTTATGAACAGAGGATCAAAAAGATACCTGGAACACAGTGGTCTTTTTAAAGAAGTTGAATATAATTCTAGAAGCAAACTCCAACTCTTCAGGGGGTAAATTTGTCAGCAATGATGAAGGAAGTGTAATTGATCCGAGATTATTTAAATCATTCATTGCATTAGTGCCTAGAGAGATCTGAAAAATAAATACAAGGATTATGCTTCATTTCAATCACTAAAGAAAAATTAAACTATGACTTAGTTTCAGTTTAAAACTTTGAAATACATATCTCTGTAATCACTGTCAGGAACTCTGGTGCTCTCTCATTCCTGTCCTGCTCCAATCAATAAATAGCATCTGCAGGCCTGAAAAGGGTGCAACTCATTTCAGGTCTGCCTGCCATTGAAAACACACTGGGCTTTACCCATTTGCTTACAGGGACAGAACACATCACTGTGGTGGATAATACTGATTTGAAAAAGGTGAAGAGCAACAACCTAGGTAGGTCCATGTAACTGTGTAAGGAGACTAACATTTCACAGCACAGAAGCCTGCAAAGGAAAGAATTTTTATAGCCCATATGAAATATGACAGAATTCAGAAAAACCGACAATACGCATTATTTGCCAATAGGTTTTTAAGAACAGTAGGGTAAGCGGAATCTAAGAACCCTAACTTTATGATCATCTGTCAAAAATGACAAATAAACTGGATAAACTACAATTCAGATATCTCAAGAGCTTAGTGATCTGACATTATAAAAAAAAGATCTGAACTTTCACTCAGTTTTCTGTGCTGTACTTACAGTACAAAAAGCTTTGTTTAGGACAAAATCTCTAATATTTTCTTGTTGCACGTTAGTCACTTTACATACAAATATCATCATCTCAGAGTTCCTGAGAGATGTGAAACATCAGCAGAACTGAAGAAATAAATTATCTGTGTATTCAAAGAATGGCTGTGATAGAAATAATAATGTGAGCTCTCCACAGTGCTGTAACAATACGGTTTAACTGTTCTGTTTAGACCAGTGGTCTCCAAACTTTTTTTGATCATGTACCCCCTAAAAAATTTTTAGCATGCACCCCAAAATATATCTATCTATTTATAAGTCATAGGCATGTACTACTGTACTAATATATTATGCATATTATAAAACACACACAAAAATAGAAAATTTAGAAGGATGAGATAAAGATTAAACATTATTTTTTTAAAAACATATTTTTTATTTATTAATCATATAAAAATATTTTCTTCCCACACCCCAATGCACTGTCATGTGCACACCCTGGGGTACTCACACCCCACTTTGGAGATCACTGGTTTAGACAGCCACCAGAGAAATCCCGAATCAATTCCACAAAAGCATTCCTGTTTCTCTGGTTTGAACTACACGATCCTTGTTGAAAATTCTCTGTATTTCACTGCCAGTGCCATGAGATGTCCAGAAAATCATTACTTAGCAAATATCTGTTTTTCAGCACTACCACCTCCTAATCACCTCACATTCATGCACCACATGTTGCTAAGAAAATAGAAAAGAACTCAAATGTTAACATTTCATATCACTTTCAGTATCACAGAACAGCTTCAGTACTACTTATGGCACATTAAGCTATTTCCTTCCCTGAGAGGACAGAATGTGCCAAAATTTGTCCATAACTTTCCAACTCTCCTTGCTTAAGCCTCCGAGGTTGGTATTGTCCAAATTATTATTTCCTCAACCAGAAGAGAGGTTTTGAGTGAGACAAATTGGATCCAAACTTTATAAGCACTTCTTTCTTGGCAAGACCAACTACTCATGAGTGACAAATGAATGAATGTCATTATCCAAGCAACATAAAAGTTCTTTCCTGGAACTCTCTGCAATTAATCTCCTTCTAATGGATGAAACCATCTGGCAACACTCCTTGATAAATTTCAGCACTGTCACGGTGGGTGATGAAGTGACTCATGATTCAGGGGTTTTGAGGCAAAGTTATTCCACCAAGCATTCTGTCCGTTCCAGTATTCTGGCTGTACCCACTCTAACAGCTTATTAGTCTAATGCCAGTTTCTTTTAATTCCGTTGCTTATTTGCACTTATTTACACAATAGAAAATGAAAGGAAAAACTATGGAGGGCTTCAAAAACAAAGTATTTTTAATCTGAAACTAACATGAACAAAGGACTTTGAAATTGTGACATAAACACAGGACATACTCATTACATATAAATATAAAAACATAAATACTTAAAAATAAATGTTTAAGAATTTGTAAGTATTTAGAATTATCAGCTTTTAACCTGGAGATCAGCTGAGTCCTGGACAGCAAAAGACATTTGGTTGGAGCGGATGCCATTGGTTTTGACAACTGCCAGAGCCAAGGAAGGGGAAGCAAAATCAGCAGACGTTGCTGAAAAGTTCAGTTTTAAGCCAATGTAATCCACCAGTTTTATAATTCTGTTAAGAAAAAGAGATACTTAGTATTACCAAACACATACACCCAAAATCCTCAGGCAAGTTGTGGTTATGGAGCAACAATCCAAGTGTAGTGTAAAATATAAAATACAGCTGACTCTGCTCACTTATTGTGGCATCAACAAAAAAAAATTACACTGTTTTCCATGGCATTATATTATAGTAGAGCTGGTAACATTAGAATGATACTCCTTCCATTTTGTATATTATTGAACATAATATACATTTGTATATTAAAGAACAAGAAATATTGTATTGTATATCATGATTATGAAAAAATGAAACTTGCTGAATCCAATTTATCAAGATATTCAATACAACACACCTTCAATCTATTGCCAAAATGACCTACCTGTTAGAAATTCGGGGTGGTAATGGTTGAGAAGCAGTCAGGAGTTTGCTAACCTCACTAACCATCCTTTCCACATCTTTTGGCTCTACTTTTCCAGCTGCTAAATCATTTTCTATTTTGGACACGATTTGCTCAGCTGTGGTAATATTAATGGTGGTATATACAGAAGTTGTGTATGTGGTAGCTGATAGTATCTTTCCTGGGACAAAAGAAAAGTTGTGCATTTATTTAAACATTGTGTTCAACAAATGAATTAAGCTTTGAGAAGCAGAACAGTTAAGCAGTTCTCTTGATCAACAAACCTTATCACAACTTGTAAGGTCTCTCAACATGTTATACGAGACAAAATCCCTTTTTTCTCCCTATCGGCTACTTTGCAGATAGCAATACTTCAAATCTTATGAAAACATAAAGCAAGGTTTCAAATGGCCAGCAGTAATTCCAGTTTTTATTGATTACAAACTCCCTCACATCAGACCATTAGTGATGTCAAATAATCTATTCTTTTGGATTTTTAGCCATGCGATGCTTAAAAGTAGAATAAAATCAAGATCAGCAATTTGAAAAGAAGCTTGTAAAGATGAGTACAATCTTCGTAGGAAAATACAGAGTCACTAAGAATATTGCTAACCAATAACAATATTTTAAGGAAGATCCAACACTGATTTGCAATATTTTAAATACTAGCTTAGTGAAAAAAAATAGCTATTTGGCTCTGTGACTTAATTTTTTCTCCCAAAGGTACCTGTTGGGAACTTAGCACAGTACATATCTATCACAGTTACCAACCAATTTGTAGGGTGAGGTATCACTCATCATGGCCAAAGGCATCAGAATGTATTTTAAAATAAGTATACACCTCATGACAGTTGTCTGAGGTTATTCACAGTAATTGGAAGGTCACAGCTCAGATATGTAATCTTGTTTAATAAAGTTGAAAAGCAAATTCAGTATATGGCATTCAAATTTTTAAAAGAATCATTTTACTTGTCATATTTACCTGTGCTCCCATTAGGCAGGCTACCATGTCCATCAGCAGTAGAATGAGGATGAGAAGCTGAGACTGAATGGTTGACAGGGCTAACAGTGGGGGTCAAAGTTATTGTGAAAGGAGTAAGGGGAAGAACAGGCGCTGCTGTCGTGTTTTTGTTATCAGAAATAGATTGGATCGAATCTGTAGCAGGATGAGTTTGTGCAACAGATTTGGTGGTAGTCTCAAAAGGCGGAATTGCTAATGGAGGTTTGGGGGGAAGCTCAGAAGAGGAAACTGCAGAATATTTAGTGAAACCTACAGAAGGAGAAATTATTGTAATAGGCTTGCTAAGATACGCAGCATCAGATTTGACTGAGAAAGCAGCATTAGTGACAGATTTTGTTGCAGGTGTGGAAATAGTGGCAGATTTATTAGAAGCTATGGAAGGAAATGTTGGCATGGTAGGTTGAGCAAGAGACTCAGAAGAGGAAACTATAGTGGTAGCACTGGTGGAAGACACAGAAGTTTCAGTAGAAGATGTGGTAGAAGTTTCAGATAGAGGATTTGTAGTGGGAGATGTGGAAAGAACTCCAGAAAAATAAATTTCTGTGAATGGTGGGATCAGTGGTCTAATTGAGGGGCTTTGTTTGGTAGAAAGCATAGTGGGAGAAATAAAAGTCCTAGATTTGGGGAAAGTCTTTTTAGCGAGAGAAGAACGAGAGAAAGGAACCCATATAGAATGAGATGGCACTTGTATAATACTGTAAAAAAAAAAAAAAGGCACAGAAACGCATGTTAAATTTAACATTGTTTACATTTTAAAGAAAACAAGTTATAATAGAGGAATATACATGAATGATATGGACATACTACTAATAATGTATTTTTTAAAATAAATCAGATTGGATATTTCATGCTCTAGTAACAAATATGCATTCCGTCACATTTTGAGGGTTCTTACATTCTATTTTGCTGTAGTTGTTAACTAGCAAGCCCATAAATACTACTCCTGCCTTTGCTGCCTATTCTGGAGGTGACCCAGTGCTAAACACAAAAGCTATCTGCATCAGGAAAAAAAAAGGGGGGAAAAAAAAGGAAAAAAAAAAAGGGAAGAGAAGAGAAGAGAAGAGAAGAGAAGAGAAGAGAGAGAAGAGAGAAGAGAGAAGAGAGAAGAGAGAAGAGAAGGAAGAGAAGAGGAGAAGAAAGAAGAGAAGGAGAAGAGAGAAGAGAAGGAGAAGAGAGAAGGAGAAGAGAGAAGGAGAAGAGAGAAGGAGAAGAGAGAAGGAGAAGAGAGAAGGAGAAGAGAGAAGGAGAAGAGAGAAGGAGAAGAGAGAAGGAGAAGAGAGAAGGAGAAGAGAGAAGGAGAAGAGAGAAGGAGAAGAGAGAAGGAGAAGAGAGAAGGAGAAGAGAGAAGGAGAAGAGAGAAGGAGAAGAGAGAAGGAGAAGAGAGAAGGAGAAGAGAGAAGGAGAAGAGAGAAGGAGAAGAGAGAAGGAGAAGAGAGAAGGAGAAGAGAAGAGAAGAGAGAAGAGAAGAGAGAAGAGAAGAGAGAAGAGAAAAGAGAAGAGAAAAGAGAAGAGAAAAGAGAAGAGAAAAGAGAAGAGAAAAGAGAAGAGAAAAGAGAAGAGAAAAGAGAAGAGAAAAGAGAAGAGAAGAGAAGAGAAGAGAAGAGAAGAGAAGAGAAGAGAGAGGAATGGGGAGGGAGCTATATAGGAAAATGCCTGTCAGGCTGTTGTTGTGGAGTCCTTCTCCTGGCTACTACACTGCAACATGGAAGTTGACTCTCTTAATGCATTAGGAAATCTCAGGGAACAAGCAAGTCAAATTTTGTATATATACTTACTACATTTGTAATTCTTCAGCAGTCAAAGAACAAATCTTCAGTGATGAACAGCAGCACCGTTCTGAGATGATAAAGAAGCATTAACCTAGTTTATCCTAAAGCATAAAAATTGCTAATACTGTTAAGTAGGATATTCAAATAAGCATGTGTTTTATGTTTTTCAAACAATAGCATATATTGCACAATTGATTTTGAGGGGTTTTTTTTCTGAAATTACTTTTGCAAAACAGATCTTGACCAGTCAGAATACTGCAGTACCCCCAGATTTTTGATCAATGCTGGACAAGTACAGATTTCTCTTTTTGTTATTGTAAACAAAGCAAAATGTAAAGCCACATCTTTTGAAACAAAGAGACAAATGGTATGGGTCACCACTCCATACTATCACAATATCACTAAGAAAGCTTGGCTGCTTTATAAACTTTTCAATTCAGATTGCCATTGCAATATCACATTTATGTTCTCAAGTAATTTTACACCTAATCCTTTCAAAGTCTGCTTTATTAATGTAGTCATTAATTTTATACAAAAAAAAAAAAAAATCTATCTCCCCCCTCTCCACCCAAAAATCAGGCAGCTGCATTTCTGATGTATTTATATTATTCAAGAAAAAATATTTTTATCTCAAAATAAGTAACAATCTTTTCTTTTAATACTTGGAGTTCATGTGTAAAGAAATAAAAGGGTAACTGTAATTGAGACTGTGTTTAAAGCATAACTTACCAAGTTGGCTTATTTCTGCTTTGTCTGTTAAACTGCTTATATTCTCACTCCCAGCCAGCTTCATTATGAAACTGCAGTGTACACTATAATGAGAAGAGCTTTAGAGTCAAGAAACAGATCTGCCTCATCTTTACAATGCATAAAACTAACATCAAATGCTAAGTGAATGCACATTGCACAAATGCTATGAAAGCACATTTTTCCTAGGCTCTTTCAGATTTGGGGGATATTTTTAATGCACGTAAAACACTATGCCAGGCTAAACAGAAGAGTAATACATCAGTTTGTGGCAGCTTATTTTCTCTTCTCTCTACAGACACTGTTGACTCTTAAATGGGGTCCTCCCTAATTAATGTTAGCTATTAAAGAGTTGATAGTTTTGTAAGGATAAAAACATAATCTCCACCGATACTGTAAAGAAACTCCAGAGAAGAACTAGCAAGTGTCCGAGCTGGCTATGTCAGTGTATATGAAATCTCCATCAGCTGGGGAAAGCCAGTGTTCTCTCCCTTGACTTCAGAGAACTTAAATGACCCAGTTAAGCATGTAATTACACACTTACAATTACAGTTCTATGACTTGAAACCCTGCCTAAACTAGCAAACCTTCAGTAAGAATTTTTCACGTTCAGCAAACACAAGTACACAGATGAATGAAAAAGGCAAAGTGAAGCTCTTTCCAGCTAACAAGAATGAAAAGAGTACTCTAACTCTGCCAGTATATGACATGAAGGTGTCACTGTCTTTCTGTCTATTACTATGTGAGTGTTTTGTTTTGGACTTTTCTTTCATTCTAACCCAGGAAGATAACACCCAAATTCAAGTATTTGGGGAAATGAAATTCCTTTTTCTTTTTTTTTTTCCCCTAAGATTAAAGTGTTTCCAAGCTGAACGGTTTAAAGGACCAGCAATTTAGTGGTGAGTAGCAATTAAATTGACAGACTTCATCTACATTTAGGGGTTTCCAAGATCACCTCTGTGATCAGTCTTGCCATGGTCATGGCTTCTAAACTCTGAACTGGTTACCTTCTCAGGCTTCCCCTACCCTGAGCTGGTTTCCCAAGCTGAAGAACAGCAGCTTGGGATGTCTGAAGCAATTACCTCATAAAGATTGCATTGTATTCACAAGGTCTGGAAATTTGGTGGTCCCAAATCCCACAGCCTCAGTCGTTAGGTTGCTATGTGACTCAGCTAATACAAAGATGCAGAAGAAATATGGCAGGCAAGCCTGTGCTTCACCAGAAGATTAATGAAATGCAATATAGTTTCATTAAAAAAAAAAAAATCACTAATGCTAGAAGAATAATGGGACCAGGATTTCTTTGTCAGTCTACACATATTTATCCAGCCTTTTTCTCAAACTTAACTTCCTAGAAAGTTTGGTTTTTCCTCTGTTACATAGCCATTCATACTTGCTATATCATCACAAGACAAAATATGAGCTTTTAAATATATGAGCATTTAGAAAATTAGCAACAAACCTCTGGTTTTCTGCACTGCATTTATATGAGCTTTCAAATATGAGCATTTAGAATATTAACAACAAACCTCTGGTTTTCTGCACTGCATTCCATAACAGAGGACTGTAATGACAAGTGAAAATAGAAAAAAAAAAATTCATCAGGAGAAAACAGGACTGATACTTAGATAATGACATTATAAGAAATAAGTTGGAAAAAAGTTGTCCAAACAGTAACAACAATTAGTAATCTTACCTCACTCACTGCTTGCAAAGTTTTGTTGAACTCTGAAATTCTTTAAAAGAAAAAGTTACATTATTTCTAGTTATGTTTCTAAAGACAATTACAACAATATAATGAAAAGAACAAGCAACCACTGATAAAAAAAATTTCCATTTGATCAGTGATTTTTCTAAAATCACTCCAGTTCTAATATTGTAAAACAACTTTTCAAAGGAGTAAACATTTTAAAACTTGCCTTTTATTAGTCACTCCACAAACTAAGTTTAAACCTCTGTCATCTTATATTTTAACATCAAGCCACTTCTTTTAAAGTTATTTAAAAGAGCAAAAGATAATTCTTAATGCTGCCTTTTGGCAAGCAATCATTAGGAACAGAATTCTAAATTTATACTCATAGCCACAGGAACAGAATGAGTAAGAAATACGGATTTCTTCTACAAACAAGACCTATTGGACAATTACATTTGGGAATAACAGTAATATTCACTCATTCAAACCTCTCATTATAAAGACAGTGAAAGAAGAAACTACACCAAAATAAAAATATAGATATGACTCCAAGAATATGTATTAAAATACATGCAGCTATGAAAGTTCTCTTAGCACTTTCTTATGAGACAGACCGAATCCCTGAAATTAGAAAAAACACTTACTCATGAAAAGCAGCAGCCAGACTGGCATTCTGAACAACCCACAGCTCATGTCCTCAGGTATTATTATTATCATTATTATTATTATTA